GTTTGAGCACACATTTTCTGAAAAGTGGAGCAGGCAGAAGACGGAGAGGATGAACTTTTCTCATCATTGGGGGGTTTGTAGTCAGACCAGAGGAACATGGAGAAGTGGATTTTGTGTATTATGTGACCTTTAAAGGAAGAATGTGCCACTTTTTGTTCAGTAGTTGTCGCCCTTTAGCAGAGCCTCCGCTCTCCTCCAGAGACACACCTCCAAACCCTCCTCCACTTGCGTTCAAAATCAGCAAATACATCAAAGGTACTGTTTGGTCCAGTTGTGAATAGTCGTTTGTGCTTCCTTGTTTCTCCGTCAGCGCCCTCCAGGCCCCCTGACGTGTATTACAGAGTGGAGAAAAGAGACACTGCTGAATCTTTTCTACTTCAACTCGTGTGGAAGGTACATTACAGATTATGGGAAATATTTTAGTTTAAACACTCACATCTCCATAAAATTGATTTGACCAAAGTCTTGTATCTGTGCAGGACCTTGACCTCCTTGAAGCCGGCGGTCGTATCCTCGGATACCAGGTGAGCTACGAGCCAATGAGGAAGCAGCCTCTGCAGGACATATTCATTCAGAATGTCACAGAGGCGATAGCGCTGATGTCGGTGGAGGCCGGGAACTGCAGTGTCACAGTAACAGCCTTCAACAACGCCGGCTACGGGCCTGCTGCACATCTCAGCATCGACACACAGAAACAGAAGAGTGAGTGGCACGCTGGTTGATGTCATGGTGATGTGCTGACTGACTCTAAAACTCAACAGCACAGATATCAGCAGCACAACACTTGTTTTTAAAGGGCTGTTTTTAATAGGGTAGTGAAATAACTCCTTAGTTCAAAAACCAGGTACTTCATGAAATTGATTTCTGAATCTGAATGGAAAAGCTCAACCCTTTGGAAACATCTCAATACTTTAAACAACCGAACAATTAACCCCAATAAAACAGTAGTGGAATTGAACATAAAAGGAGGAGTTTGTAATGATACAATTGAAATTGCAAACAAATTTAATACATTTTTTATTTAATCAGCTGAGGAACTGGCAGCAAGTTTTAAACCTGTGCAGTTAACAGATGTATTAAGAGACATCTCAACGTCCTTTTATATCAAAAAGACAAAGTTATCACTCAGTTAAGACAATCAAAGGCCAAGGATATTTTTGGCTTGGATAAGAAGTGCTCTTCTTTTAATACCAGTTACACATATGGTCAACTTATCCATCAGAACTAATACATTCCCACAGGAATGGAAAACCCCAATTCATAAGACTGGAGCACCTGACCAGATCTTTAATTACAGGCCAATTTCAATCTTACCCACACTCTCCTCCTTGAAAAAACTGTTGCCAAGCAACTTGTAGACCACCTTGAAAGTAGAAACCTTCTGCACCCCAAACAATTTGGCTTTAGACCAAGGTACTCAACAGAGTTAAACTGTTTCCTTACAGAAACTATTAAACAGTCATTGGATGAAGGCAGTGAAGTAGGAGCAGTATTTTCAGACTTGAAAAAAGCATTTGATACTGTGAATTATGACATTCTCTAAATATAATATATCAAATGATGCAATATCCTGGTTTTGATCGTACCTTCAATGCAGAAAGCAGTGCGTAAGAATAAATTCCACTCAGTCAACTTTCAAATGTATGCCGACGACACAGTTATATATGTGTCTGCAAAGACCCCTGAGATGGCAGCAGAGATCCTTTCAAAATAAATGTCTAGTGTGTCAAAGTGGCCAAACAGTTATAGAGTGATAAGTGAGAAATAATCATGGCACGCATATATTGTCTTCTAACCTTAAACTATGATAAAACTGTGTCAATGTGTTTCTCAATAAAAATAAGTAATGATCGTTTTAGAATAGAGATACATGAAGAAGAGGTTACAGAGGTACATGAGTTCAAATGTGTAGGTGTTATTTTAGATTCTCAGTTGAAGTTTGACAAACATGTGAAAAGGTTATGCAAAACTGTCACTATACCACTAAAACAACAATATATGCATGCCATGATTTTTTCTCACTTATCATACTGTATAACTGTTTGCTGCTAGGCCAACCAAACAACAATTACACCTATCAGGTGATTATATGAACAGGCACTGAAAATAATGAATCAGAAATCAGTTACATGGCATCATTGCCTCAAAAAACACAATGTACTGAGTTTTTCAAATCTGACTTTTTAAATGTGTAAACGTCCTCGCTCCAGAAACAATCTGTCAGCTGATATCAGAACGAGGGCTACATCAAGTGGAAGCAGTAGAGCACCAAAACGCAGGACTACATTTGGTCGGTCATGTTTTTAAGTAAGAGGAACACATTACCATCTGAAATTTAAAAAACTGACAAAGTTCAAGGTTTTTAAAATCGTGAAACAGTGGCTGAAACTGAAGCAAGTTTTTGAGCATTGAACGTTTCCTTTTGTTTGTTATTATGTATTTTGTTTTACTGCTTAATATCATTTAGTCTCTTATTTGTATTGAGTTCATAATGTCAGTATTTCTATAGCATCAATGTTTCTGTATTTTATTTTAGTCTAATAATTCAGTTTAAATCCTAAAGGCCTAGCCAGGGACGGGGGTTGCAAATTAGCCAAGGCTAGAAACTTTTATGCATGGCATCTACTTAACATATGAAGCAATGTTTACTGCATGTGTCCCTGTTACATACACAAATAATAAACAACAACAACAGGGTTCTTTTTCACACACACACCCATAGTGAACATGATTATCATTTTTAGTGTTATCCGCCTCAGTCTTTTAAACTGATGGTATCAGATCTGACATTGAGCTTTAACTTAAGCAACATCCTGTCTGGGTGTGTCTGTGTCTGTTTACTGCAGGAAAGGGAAGCGACAGAGCGTTGACATGATGTTCAGATTAAACTGATACCAACACTTCTCAAGTCAAATGTTTTAGTTTCCTAATTATAAAAACAACGTGGGACATGTTGTGATGGGAGCGATCTTTGGACTGCTCGGTCACAGCTTAAAGCTCGGCTATAATATATTCCTAGATAATCAAATCTTGGTGGGAATAAATGGGTGCATGGTGGAATAACGCTGCTACATGCCGTGTTGATGTGCCGTTATGAAACTGGAAAAAAACAGAATCATAGATTGTTGCGTCATATCTTAAAGAGATGTTTGTTTACATTTTATTTAAACTTTAGAAATATCCTATTTCAAACTCAAAGATTAATTCTGCTAAATATTTAGTCATTTCATCCCTTGAAATGTCTTGATCATTTGGGGGCGCCGGTAGCCTAGTCCTCTGAGTGGGCGGTCCTAGTCTGACCTTTGGCCTCTTTCTCGCATGTCATTCCCTTCACATGTCACTTAACCCCAAGCTGCTCCCTCTGCTTTGTCGGGGGGGTGTGAATGGATGAGTTAATGCTGACGGACTCTTTACTCAGCGGCCTCTACCATCAGTGTGTGAATGTGTGTGAATGGATGAGTTAATACTGATGGACTCTTTACTCAGCGGCCTCTACCATCAGTGTGTGAATGGATGAGTTAATGATGACGGACTCTTTACTCAGCGGCCTCTACCATCAGTGTGTGAATGTGTGTGAATGGATGAGTTAATACTGATGGACTCTTTACTCAGCGGCCTCTACCATCAGTGTGTGAATGGATGAGTTAATGATGACGGACTCTTTACTCAGCGGCCTCTACCATCAGTGTGTGAATGTGTATGAATGGATGAGTTAATACTGATGGACTCTTTACTCAGCGGCCTCTACCATCAGTGTGTGAATGTGTATGAATGGATGAGTTAATACTGATGGACTCTTTACTCAGCGGCCTCTACCATCAGTGTGTGAATGGATGAGTTAATACTGATGGACTCTTTACTCAGCGGCCTCTACCATCAGTGTGTGAATGGATGAGTTAATACTGATGGACTCTTTACTCAGCGGCCTCTACCATCAGTGTGTGAATGGATGAGTTAATGATGACGGACTCTTTACTCAGCGGCCTCTACCATCAGTGTGTGAATGGATGAGTTAATACTGATGGACTCTTTACTCAGCGGCCTCTACCATCAGTGTATGAATGTGAAGGTGTGACCTGCGGTGTAAAAGGGCTTTGAGGAGTCTGAGTCTGAAAACTAAACAAGCTGAAGTCCATCTTTCATATTTCTGTTGTTTCTGCAGCGCTCTCTTCAGTCAGACACCTGTGGGCTTCTAGTTCTTCTATGGGCCTTCTGGTCCAATGGGAGCCCCCCACAGACCCCCCTCCTTCTTTCCTGTCTCTCAGTCATTATGCTCTTCAGTGGCGCTCAGAGACTCGACCGTCCACCACCCACTGGACCACCGTGGACAACTTCTCCACGTCGACAGTTATACAAGGTAAAACCTGGTTGGAATATCAGCCCCTCATTTGTTCCCTCAGTTCTCCTTTTGGGACGATGACAACAGAGAAGATACTCATTGTACAGTTTTTATCTCATTTCTTATTTAAGCAGGGAAGAAACTTGTTAAAAAATCTTCTGGAGCAGCTTCTGAAAGGCTGCAGGACAGGAAGAGGCTTGTCTCTGTCAACACTCTAATCTACTCTTCATTTAAGATTAATACATATAACGATGTTCTCTTTTGCTGCACAGACATTGCTTGCGATTCACAGCGTATACATGACGTGTGTTGTGTTCACAGATGTTGATCCTGAAGACTCGTACCTGATCACCGTGTTTCCTGTCTATCAGCAGCAGTGCGGACCTCCTCATTCACTGCCCGCCAGTCTGCAGCAGGGAGGTAAACATGCTCACAGACTGATGAGGTTCAAAACCACATCTGACTGCAGAATGAGTGAAGTTCTCAACTCTCTGACAACACAGGAAACAATAAATGAATCTAGCTCTGCTCCAAGCTAAGATGTGTTTCTCCCAGTTAGCATTGATGGAAAAGATTGTTTTTTAAATTCTATTTATGTCACATATCCTCTTCAAAAAGTGTAAATAAGTGTCAGAGCTCCTCAAAACATGTGTGTGAAGTTTCTTGTTCTAAATCCACTCTGATCCTGTATTTGATCATGTCTATAAACCCCTCTATTTCAGCCCTGCTCAGAACAGGCTGTTTCTGTGTCTGTACCTTTAAATATGTAAATGAGCTGTGTCTGACCACGCCCCCTCTCTGGAAGGACTTGGGTGTACTTGCTCTTTCTCGCTCCATGTCCTATTGTTTACGGTGAGAAGGCAGACTCAGAGGGCAGAACAAACACCTAGCTGTGGGAGTGTCACCCACCTGGGGGAGGGGCTACTGCCCTTTGTGATGTCATGAAGGTGAAATCTCCAAACGGCCTGTTTGAGCACACATTTTCTGAAAAGTGGAGCAGGGAGGGTTAGGGTTAAACTACCCCACAATGCACTGCGCCTCTCAGACTGTTCAACTGTGGAACTCACAAGCTAGCCAACCAGCAGCTTAAAATAAAAGTTCTGTGCTGAAATACATTTTACCAAATATATTAAAATGACTACTTAGCTGTACTAGTAATGAACGTTTGCATATTGTTGTTGAATTATATTAACAGTCATGCTAGCTTGATGCTAGCACATCGAACGGAGCTCAGAATGGAAGAACGATCCGTAGTTTAGTATGATGCTAACAGCATACTAACAGTCATGCAGTATATTTTGAGTATGTTGTTGGCAGTATGTAGAACGTGGTCTGCAAACAAAGAAACCTCCACAGACACGTCTGACACGACATTTTCTGTTTTTTTTGTTTGTTTTTTCAGCTCTGAGTGAGGCGGTGAAGCTGAGGATAGTAGACGTTACCAAGACAACAGTGACAGTTGTTTGGGAGTGGCAGCAGAAGTCTGGACCAATCAGAGTGGATGCATATGAAGCAATGCTGAGTGGAGAGTCAGAGGGGAAAAGTATGTTATTTTTTGACACTTCCATTTAACATGACATTCAGTCGTTTCTGTTGTTGACCTCGCTCCCTTCAGCCTGTTTCTGTTAATAAACATCCATCAATCTCTCCAGCTCTCTCCCTGTGGCCGGACAAACAGCAGCACACCTTCCTCAACCTCAAACCCAACACTGACTACTCTCTTCTCCTATTGGCTGATGGCGCCTCCAGAAGTATCATCGCCGTGACAACAGACTTCGGTGCCTTTACAGATTTTCACTAGTTAGAGGAAAAGTTTCACAGTATTCAAATCAAATCGCTCCGATTATTGGGAACTAAGCAATTATTTGTTTTTCATTCAGATGAAGTCCCGCTGGTTGCCACAGCGACTCCTCTGATGCTGCTCACTGTTACTGTGTTCATCATCTCCATCCTGTCCAGGACTGTGTGAGTCAACACACACACACACACACACACACACACACACACACACACAACCAACACACCCGAGGGCTCAAACAAATCACAAGAGGGTAACAGTTCGTCTCTAATTGGTTAAAAGCTCTGGAAACAAGAAGCCATAATATCAAATTATACATCTAACATTAGAAGTTTTAACGTTTGATCCAAAAAACTTAAAGGAGCAGTATGTAACTCTGACCCCTCGTGTTTAAAATGTGTACTGCAGTCTGAATTATAAACATCATAGAGAGCTGTCTCCCCCCCCCCCTCTCTAGAGTGGATGCTCACTCAGGTCACCATGTGGTGGACTCTGAAGCTTCAGTGTTTATCCAGCTCTGCATGGGTCTGTAAACCTTTCTGTGTTCTAACCTCTCTCCATTTTTCAAAAGCATCTCCAATATTGATCCTAGTTTGAGCACGTTTCTGCTCGTGGAGCTTATTAGAAACATGCAGAGGCTTTTTAGGTCGGGTACAATCACTTCTATCTGAACCACTTCTCTTGACCGCTTCCATCACTGCAACACCTGTTGACCTGATAACTGCTCTCATATCTGACAAACCGAGGGGCGTCCAAAACAGCCGTGTGGGGGGGGGGTCTTAAAAGCGCCTACCTTCTCTGGTCCAAACAAATCCAGAGCATTCAGGAGCAGAATCTAAAGTTAGAAGGAGGACATACTGGCTGCTGCATTGTTGTCAGAGAAGCCAGCACTTCAACATGTTTCCTTAATGATCAGAGAGTAAGAAACCTTTATCATCTCACTCTCTACACAGCTCACTGATTGGACCCTCGAGTAACACAGAAAACATGAAAGCCGCAAACAGAACTCAACAACGTATCACTCATTGCAACCTCAATAGAACAGAGCGTCACACATCCACTGACCACCCCCCCCCCCTCAGGACAGAGGTACAGAGCACTGAGGTTCAGAAGGGCTCGCCTTAGGGAGAGCCTGATCCCTGCAGTCAGAGCTGCTCTGAACAAAAGGCCTCGCTGAACACAGTTTGTTCTGTTCTCTGTGTTCTGTGTTTTCTGTACTGGTATTGTGTTGGTATTGTCTGTTGGACAGGAGTGGTGCTGTGAAAGGGAATTTCCCCGTCAGGGCCGGCCCCAGCCATTTTGGTGCCCTAGTCTGAAGACTAAAAATACAATAAAGACGTTCATTCAGTTTTTTCATCTCCTCATCCCTGTGCAGGTACAAGTCGTACTTCTTCCCGCCCATCTCAAGTCCTCGATGCAGCACGACAGGCCAGTGGCTGATGGAACCGAACAACCAGGTGACCTGCTTTTTACTGGAGCTACGTCTTCTTAAAGAGGAATTCTTGCAGCCCTGCAGCATGTTGTGCACGTGGAGAATATGGACTTTAAAAAGATCTGTTAAGAATTTTCTACTTTTTTGTATCAAGACTTGCTTCAGGACTTCTTGAAAAAGAACTGAAAATATGAACAAAGTTATTTCATCTTCATGCATGTTTTAAATCACATCAATGTTTGTGTTTAACAGAAACCTGCAGAGAGACACATCCTGGACATAGACGACTTCATGGTGATGGATTTACTGGGACCAAAAAGTTTCATCACCGTCAGTTCAACCTGTGAGCCGTCACCAGCGGAGGGGCTGCATGAAGAAGCCCCCCTGCTGTCCATCAGTCAGCTCTTCATCCAAATGGACCCTGAGTATGTTTCTGATGCTCCAGTGTTCACAGAGCCTCTCCTGGCGTCTCTCCAGACCTCCTATCATCCCGTCTACACTGTGAGCTGCAACTATACTGACCAGGACCAGGACCAGGACCAGGACCAGGAAGTGTTTATATCTGAGGCCTTTCTTCAAAAAGAGGAAGAGAGCAGATGGGACTTTGAGACGTCACCTCACAGAGAAACGCTCGTTAAAAGCTCATTTCATGAATTCATGGCGAACATGAACAGCGTGTGCGTCTACCAGACGAGCTGCAGGGCGGAGCTTGTGGGGAACTCGTCTTCCTCTCAGGGGAACAGGGATGTTGAAACCAACTGTTCATCTCTGATCTGTGAAAATGATTACATCGCAAACAGCTGCTCTCCTGCACAAACTACAGATGAAGACTGAAGCACACAGGTACGACATGCTAGTGCCCCCTTGTGGCTGTGACGCTGCAGGAAAAGACCTCTGACGGCAAAAAGGCAAAAATGTGAAGACTTTGTTTTTACAGAGCATGCACAGTGTGTGTGTTCACATGCTGATGTTAAAGTAAATGTGTTTTTCCTTCTGCAACACATCAAACAACGAGCTGTTTTTTTTATGAGGAAGAGCCGATGAGCCATGGAAAAGATCTACTCTGCTTCCCTGGCAGGTCACACACGTGCAAAATTTTGTGTAAATACTGCAAACTTCAAAACAAACTAGGGCCCGACTGATATGGGATTTTTGATTTTTGAGGCCGATACCAAAATTAGGAAGAGAAAAATTGATATATTGGCCGATAATTTTCTTAGATCTTTGTTCGATCTGTACAGATTGATGGATATAGATATACACATGTATCATGTTGATCCCTCAAATGCAGTTATCAAACACTTATAGAAAAGATAAATAATGACAAGATAATAAAGACAAGATGGTCAGAGTGATGATGCTGTGTTGTATGTTGTAATGAATATAGCGCCCTCTGCAGGTGACAGCCAGAAAGAGAACTGTTGTGTTACTACGAAACTCAAAGGAAATGTTATTTGACTGGTGAATACATATCTGGGATCAAATTAGCCGATACAGATAGTCACTTGGTGTGTTCATATCAGTCGATAAATCAGTTTGGCTCTAAAACAAATAATTGTTGATGTTCTAAAGATATGTGGAAAGAAAGCTTTTTGGTTTTGTGCAGCGTCTCCAGACTGATCTAACACGTTAAACTCAGAACTCTTGATATTCTTGTGAAAATGTGAAATCTGTTGAGTTATCTTCTTTGTCATTGTTGAAGCTAAGTGCTAATGTTAATCTCTCGCTCAGCTCTGATCTCTCTCTCTCAATAAAACTCAATTCATATAAATCGAGTAATGAGTTTGTTCTGAAGCACTTGATGAAAACGTGCCAACATAAAATCTCTTTTGCTTAAAGGAAGAATGTGAGACTTTTTGATCCAGTAGATGAGAACCAGCATGAACCGAAAACAAACTGCTGTTAGGCCACGCCTCCTCCACCCTGAAGCCTCCGCCCTCCTCCAGAGACACGCCTCCAACCCCTCTGCACTCACGTTCACAGAGTCAAGCAGCGGACAACATCGTCCTTGTCTCGAGCTGCACACATTTCATGTAAACTGACACAGAATGAGCGTGATCTAAAAACTCTTACTAACATCCAAATAATCAGTGAGTATGTTCTTCTTCTTCTCTCTAGTTCTTGACTAAAACAGCTTTTATACACAAGGGGAGGAGCCGGCCGTCCCGTCCATGTAAACACGGCTCTGACAACAACACAGCCAGCGGGACTCGAGCTTCTCCCTCATTGTAGACAGTCAGGACTCAGAGACACATCTACACAGGACAGACTGGATTTGTTTTAGTCTGTTGAAAGGAAACAGAGATCATCCATATGTAGAATATTTTGCATCAATCGTTTTTATTTAGCTTGTGAACATTTGATCCGTCGTCACGCTGCATGTTCCCACGTTTTGGTTCAAACCTGAGATCTGAAGATCAGAGTGTATCGTTGGTCATGTTTCTGCAGGTGAAACAACAGAAACATTTAAACTGATAAAACTAAATTAAAACTCAGTGTGGTGCAGACTCTGCTGAATCTCCTCGACTGGCTGCTGGACGCTTTCAGACCCCTCTGAGCGTAGTCCTGGATGTGAGTCTGAGCCGGTCAGAGGTTGGAGTTCATGCCGATCCAGTGTCTGATCAGCTGATGGGCGATGGTCTGTCTGGGCGGGATGATGAGATCGGGACGGGACCCTTTGAGCAGCGACTCGACCACCTGAAGAAACCAACAGATGTTTCACTGTAACCGCTGAGAGCAAACTGGGTGTCCGTGTTAAACACAGAAACAAGTACCTGTTGCCGTGGGAACCACCGGGCCTCCTCGATCTCGCTCTCGTCCACCTTGATGTCGGTCGATATGGCGACGGCGAGGCAGCCAATCATGAGAGAGGACGGCATCGGCCACGGCTGACAGGAGACGTAGGAGACCGGTCCGACCTTCACACCGCTCTCCTCCTCCACCTCCCTCCTCACCGCCTCCTCCATCGACTCACCTGCACCGAGAGACAGAGGTCACTTTAACATGTTCATCACTTCTACTGAAGTGTGTGTGAGAGAGAGAGAGTGTGTGTGTGAGAGTGTGTGAGTGTGTGAGTGAGAGAGAGAGAGAGAGAGAGTGTGTGTGTGAGAGAGAGTGTGTGAGAGAGAGAGAGTGTGTGTGTGTGAGTGAGAGAGAGAGAGAGAGAGTGTGTGTGTGTGAGAGAGTGTGTGTGTGTGTGTGAGAGTGAGTGTGTGAGTGTGTGAGAGAGAGAGTGTGTGTGAGTGTGTGAGTGAGAGAGAGAGAGAGAGAGTGTGTGTGTGAGAGAGTGTGTGTGTGTGTGAGAGTGAGTGTGTGAGTGTGTGAGAGAGAGAGAGAGTGTGTGTGTGTGAGAGAGAGTGTGTGAGAGAGAGAGAGTGTGTGAGTGTGTGTGAGAGTGTGAGTGAGAGAGAGAGAGAGAGAGTGTGTGTGTGTGAGAGAGAGTGTGTGAGAGAGAGAGAGTGTGTGAGTGAGAGAGAGAGAGAGAGAGTGTGTGTGTGTGAGAGAGTGTGTGTGTGTGTGAGAGTGAGTGTGTGAGTGTGTGAGAGAGAGAGTGTGTGTGAGAGAGAGAGAGAGAGTGTGTGTGAGTGAGTGTGTGTGAGAGAGAGAGAGTGTGTGTGAGTGAGAGAGAGAGTGTGTGAGAGAGAGAGTGTGTGAGAGAGAGTGAGAGAGAGAGTGTGTGTGTGAGAGAGAGAGAGTGTGAGTGTGTGTGAGAGTGTGTGTGTGTGTGAGAGAGAGAGAGTGTGAGTGTGTGAGTGAGAGAGTGTGTGTGTGTGAGAGTGTGTGTGTGTGTGAGAGAGAGAGTGTGAGTGTGTGAGAGTGTGTGTGTGTGTGAGAGAGAGAGAGAGAGAGAGAGAGTGTGTGTGTGTGTGAGTGAGAGAGAGAGAGAGAGAGAGTGTGTGTGTGTGTGTGTGTGTGAGAGAGAGAGTGTGTGTGTGTGTGTTACCAGGCTCTACAAATCCAGCCAGACAGGAGAAGAGTCTGGCTGGAAACATCTTCTTTCTTCCCAGTAAACACTGGTTTCCATCAGGGTGGATCACCAGCATGATGACCACAGGGTCTGAAACACACACACACACACACACACACACACACACACACACACACACACACACACACACACACACACACACACACACACACACACACACACACACACACACACACACACACACACACACACACACACACACACACACACACACACACACACACACACACACACACACACACACACACACACACACACACACACACACGTGTCAATGTGTGATGTCATCAGGTCAATGTGTGATGTCATGACCTCCCCCCTCCTCCCCCTCAGCAGGACCCTCCTCTCCCCTCATCCCCCCCTCCCCCTCAGCAGGACCCCTCCTCCCCCCTCCTCCCCCCTCCCCCCTCAGCAGGACCCCTCCTCCCCTCTCCCCCTCCTCCCCCCTCAGCAGGACCCTCCTCCCCTCCTCCCCCCTCCCCTCAGCAGGACCCCTCCTCAGCAGGACCCCTCCTTCCCCCTCCTCCCCCCTCTTCCCCCCTCAGCAGGACCCCTCCTCCCCCTCCTCCCCCCTCCTCCCCCCTCAGCAGGACCCCTCCTCTCCCCTCCTCCCCCTCTTCCCCCTCAGCAGGACCTCCTCCCCCCTCCTCCCCCCTCAGCAGGATCCTCCTCCTCCCCTCAGCAGGATCCCTCCTCCTCCCCCCCCTCAGCAGGACCGCTCCTCCCCCCTCCTCCCCCTCAGCAGGATCCCTCCTCTCCCCCTCCTCCCCCTCAGCAGGATCCCTCCTCTCCCCTCCTCCCCCCTCAGCAGGACCGCTCCTCCCCCTCCTCCCCCCTCAGCAGGACCGCTCCTCCCCCTCCTCCCCCCTCAGCAGGATCCCTCCTCTCCCCTCCTCCCCCCTCAGCAGGATCCCTCCTCTCCCCTCCTCCCCCTCCTCCCCCTCAGCAGGACCGCTCCTCCCCCCTCCTCCCCCTCAGCAGGACCGCTCCTCCCCCCTCCTCCCCCCTCAGCAGGATCCCTCCTCTCCCCTCCTCCCCCCTCCTCCCCCTCAGCAGGACCGCTCCTCCCCCTCCTCCCCCTCAGCAGGACCGCTCCTCCCCCCTCCTCCCCCCTCAGCAGGACCCCTCCTCCCCCCTCCTCCCCCCTCCTCCCCCTCAGCAGGACCCCTCCTCTCCCCTCCTCCCCCCTCTTCCCCCTCAGCAGGACCGCTCCTCCCCCCTCCTCCCCCTCAGCAGATCCCTCCTCTCCCCTCCTCCCCCCTCAGCAGGACCCCTCCTCCCCCTCAGCAGGATCCCTCCTCCCCCCTCTTCCCCCCTCAGCAGGACCGCTCCTCCCCCTCCTCCCCCCTCAGCAGGATCCCTCCTCTCCCCTCCTCCCCTCAGCAGGACCCCTCCTCCCCCCTCAGCAGGATCCCCCCTCCCCCCTCCCCCCTCCCTCCCCCTCATGTGGTCTTCGTACCGACTCGTGGGTAGCAGGTGTTGTGGACTCCCTTCAGACTCCTGCAGTCAGAGTTCAGGCAGCCGCCGCTTGTAGCCTCCGTCCTCCATGTTGGTGCTGCTGCCACACGTCGGGCAGAAGCTGTAGCGGCTGTGCCAGGCCAACACCGAGCGAGCCTGAGCCACGACTCCTGGAGGACACAGGTGGAGATCAGGAAACACAGAAACAGACCTCAGAGAAGAAGTGGTTTTTAACATCCTTCTGTCTCATAGTGAACAAATTCAACAGAATAAAGATGCTAATGTCTGAACAGGTGTTAGTTTCTTCATTTAACTGTTGTTGTAGTAGCATAAGAGTGCCACAAGAGGGCGACAGTGAGGTTAAGAAACGCCTCGTTTGAGGATAAATGGTGCACAACAATATGAGTCACATGTTGTTTCCTGTTTAAGTCTAAACCAGAGAAGAGAACTCTTCTGTTCCTCACCCGCCTCTTCCTCGCTGAACTTCAGCAGGTCTCTGTGCGCCATCTTTGTGAAGCAGCAGTTCTTTTCTCTGCTGCGTTTGAGAAGTTCAGCAGCGTCTTCGTCTGTGTTGATGGCAAACCAGGCAGGAGGCTCCCGGGTCGCCTCGGGGGGGGACGACGGCCCCTTCCTCTTCTCCACTCCGAGAAAGATGAGCACAGTGTGAGGTTTCTGGAGGAGGTCTTCAACGGCCTCAATGCTGAACCGGCAGAGTCTGGACTCGCCCTGTTGGAGTCACAATCAAAATAATCACAACGTGAATGTAAAACAAGACTCACACTGAACATCCTCCACGTACCCCTTCACTCTGGTCCTGGTCTGAGCTGCACACCATGGGGTTCAGGTTGGAGAACAGGAGGTACACTGAGTCTGGATCTCTCTGTTTGGCCTCCAGCCACGCCGCCTCGCTCCGCTTCACGCTCAGCCGCTCCAGCATCTCTCTGCTGAAGTAGTTCTCCTGCTGCTGGAGGTCGCAGCCCGGCAGGACGCGCTGGCAGCCTTCGTCCGTCCGCCCCAGCAGGTTGGAGACGGTCTTGTGGCCCAGAACTTGGAGATATCGTAGGCGGTCTGTGACGAGCTGTTCACTGAGAACTTGTCACATCTTAAAGTTTGAAGAAAAAAAAAGAGAGAGCAGAGATTAAAAAAAACAACGAGTTCATCTTTCTCAAAGTTTGAAGAAAAGTCATCAACTAAATCAATCTTTAAAGTTTAGATCCATGACCATGAAGATTAACTGAAGAAGAAGGTACAAACCTACACACTCACACTCTCACACACACACACTCACACTCTCACACACACTCACACACAATCAAGGTGTGCAGCTTTTAAAGGACACCATGTTTCAGTCTCCATCTGACCCTTCTGTACCCGTGAGACAGCAGCGTCTCCACCACGCTGTAGTGTCCGTTCCGAGCCGCGAGCATCAGCGCCGTCCAGCCGCTGTCTCCCTTCTGGTTGATGAGCGAGGGGACGTGGGACAGCAGCGAGGACACCTGGGTCAGGTCCCCTCGGGCCGCAGCGTCCAGAAGCTTCTCCACCATCTCCTCCTTCGCACTCAGCTGGAGGCTCGTCATTCTGGATGCCCGTCCTGAAGTTTAGAAATAGAAACGACAGCTTCAGTGTTCAGCTCTGCATGGGTCTGTAAAGCTTTCTGTGTTCTAACCTCTCTCCATTTTTCAAAAGCATCTCCAATATTGATCCTAGTTTGAGCACGTTTCTGCTCGTGGAGCTTATTAGAAACATGCAGAGGCTTTTTAGGTCGGGTACAATCACTTCTATCTGAACCACTTCTCTTGACCGCTTCCATCACTGCAACACCTGTTGACCTGATAACTGCTCTCATATCTGACAAACCGAGGGGCGTCCAAAACGGCCGTGTGTGGGGGGTCTTAAAAGCGCCTACCTTCTCTGGTCCAAACAAATCCAGAGCATTCAGGAGCAGAATCTAAAGTTAGAAGGAGGACATACTGGCTGATGCATTGTTGTCAGAGAAGCCAGCACTTCAACATGTTTCCTTAATGATCAGAGAGTAAGATACCTTTATCAGCTCACTGATTGGACCTTTAATGATCAGAGAGTAAGATACCTTTATCAGCTCACTGATTGGACCTTTAAATAAAAACTTATGAATGGACTTTGTGCTTGTTTGTTTGTAGTGGCCAGGGGAGGGTCTCTGACTCTTATTGGTGCAGACAGCTGTCCTTCAGGAATCTGAGGTTACGACTTTAAGGTCAAAGTTTCCATGTTAACGAGTGTACCGTGAACACAGCAGGTGGCCTGTTACTCTCCCGCGAGGACAGTTTGGATGTTTAAATCTCACCTGTAAATGAAGCTGACACCTTGGTGGATCCGCGGACATTTACCTGAAGAGGTGTGGCAGGTTTCAGAGGTTTAGTGTCCTCTGAAGGAGAACTCTAACTTCTCTTCGTCAGTCCGGATGAAAACAGAACTTTACAGTTCAAACACGTTAATCTTTAAACACTGAATCTCACCTGTGACCTGTGTGCAGCACCGGGCCGCTCTTCTTCTTCTACAGGAAGCGCTTTGTTGTGTTTCATAAACGGCAACGAGCTGCGTTCAAGAGCAACAACGACTACAACCATGCTGCCTTCAAGAGCTCCAGAGAATAACGGATTTCCGAGTGACAGACGGACACTATGTAACTTCAATGAAAACTGGTATTAGCCTGTTACTTAAAGAAAGGGACGATGTCAGAAATATCTTAATGTAGCTTTGAGAGTCTACATTTTAAAGAATTAAAAAACAACTACCAAAATAAATACCTCCAACAAGGCCAATATTACACACCAACAGCATGAAGAGATACGATGACAGAACTTTATTGTCCAACTGCACGGAAATGTACATATTGTTATTCTACATTTGACTGCTCAGAGTGCTTTTACACCGCAGGTCACACCTTCACATTCACACACTGATGGTAGAGGCTGCTGAGTAAAGAGTCCATCAGTATTAACTCATCCATTCACACACATTCACACACTGATGGTAGAGGCCGCTGAGTAAAGAGTCCGTCAGTATTAACTCATCCATTCATACACATTCACACACTGATGGTAGAGGCCGCTGTGTAAAGAGTCCGTCAGTATTAACTCATCCATTCATACACATTCACACACTGATGGTAGAGGCTGCTGAGTAAAGAGTCCATCAGTATTAACTCATCCATTCATACACATTCACACACTGATGGTAGAGGCTGCTGTGTAAAGAGTCCATCAGTATTAACTCATCCATTCATACACATTCACACACTGATGGTAGAGGCCGCTGTGTAAAGAGTCCATCAGTATTAACTCATCCATTCACACACTGATGGTAGAGGCCGCTGTGTAAAGAGACCATCAGTATTAACTCATCCATTCATACACTGATGGTAGAGGCTGCTGAGTAAAGAGACCATCAGTATTAACTCATCCATTCATACACATTCATACACTGATGGTAGAGGCTGCTGAGTAAAGAGACCATCAGTATTAACTCATCCATTCATACACTGATGGTAGAGGCTGCTGTGTAAAGAGTCCGTCAGTATTAACTCATCCATTCATACACATTCACACACTGATGGTAGAGGCCGCTGTGTAAAGAGTCCGTCAGTATTAACTCATCCATTCACACGCTGATGGTAGAGGCCGCTGAGTAAAGAGTCCGTCAGTATTAACTCATCCATTCACACACACTCACACACTGATGGTAAACATCTTGCGTTGCTCGTGCTGTTTAGCTTCTAAAGTGATAAACTCAAAGCAACATGTGCTTTTTCCAAGCAGTCACTGAACGCATCACACGTTGGACTTTGCACAGATTCTGCAGCACTTTCTCTGCGTTCCTCTGTCATGGCTGCTCGTGAACGCAGCTTTACACTTTTCTTCTCTCTCAGAGTCTCATTCATTGGGAGCAGATTTATGAGAAACATCATTTCATTTGTTGTACTGTCTCTTTAATAACGCTTTCATCTCCCATCTCTGTTTTACTTACTCTCATTTAGTAATACTTTATTATTAATGTAAGTATTATTTATTTACCCTTATCACTTTTATCTGAAAGCTGGAGCATCTCTGCTGGTTTTATGTATAATTCACCTGATGTTGGTTGGATTAGTTCTTAGTGTTGTTTATGTATTGGTATGTTTCCGGCTGCAAACTAATTTCCCTGTGGAGACCATAAAGATACCTTTGACCTTTGACCTTAGATGGATGGACGGACATTTTTCTGATTAAGTAGATTTACACTTCACTTCTGCAACGATCCTCTGAATATTTTAAAAAGACAAAAAAAGAAAAACGGACTAGACAGAAACACTCGGAAACAAAGTTAATATTTTAATAAATAATGTACAAAATAATGTTACATGAAATCCTTAAATATCTTCTTCTTGGAGCCCAGTAGAAATAAAAATACACTTTCATTCTGTAATTTTAACATCATTATCATGAAGCATTTTTTAATCATTAATAAACACAAACAAAGGCAGAATAAACAATCACTTACTGTCAGAGGAAAAGGAAATTAAAGGGTTAACCAGAAATGGACTCAAACGTTACAAGTTAACGCTTTCTGTTCCTGCACAGCGTGTGTGTGTGTGTGTGTGTGTGTGTGTGTGTGTGTGTGTGTGTGTGTGTGTGTGTGTGTGTGTGTGTGTGTGTGTGTGTGTGTGTTGTGTTAGGAGTAGAAGGTGAGGACACTCTGGTGGTTCCCTCGGACCAGCAGCAGGGGGGGGAGGTCTTTGGACAGAGTCTCCAGCCAACACATGTAGAGAGCGCTGGACACCGTGCCCTTCCTGGCCAGAGGCATGCTCCTGCAGAGGGGGGGAGGGGAAGGGGGGTTAGGACCTCAGAGTATCTTCAGAGTGTGTTATATGGTAATGTGTGTGTTGTAACACGTGTGTGTTGTAACACGTGTGTGTTGTAACACGTGTGTGTTGTAACATGTGTGTTCTATGGTAATGTGTGTGTTGTAACACATGTGTGTGTTGGAACATGTGTGTGTTATATGGTAATGTGTGTGTTGTAACACGTGTGTGTTGTAACACGTGTGTGTTGTAACATGTGTGTGTTGTAACACGTATGTGTTGGAACATATGTGTGTTATATGGTAATGTGTGTGTTGTAACACGTGTGTGTTGTAACACGTGTGTGTTGTAACACGTGTGTGTTGTAACATGTGTGTGTTGTAACATGTGTGTGTTATATGGTAATGTGTGTGTTGTAACGTGTGTGTTGTAACATGTGTGTGTTGTAACATGTGTGTGTTGTAACACGTCCGTGTTGTAACACGTGTGTGTTGTAACAGGTGTGTGTTGTAACGTGTGTGTTGTAACATGTGTGTGTTATATGGTAATGTGTGTGTTGTAACATGTGTGTGTTGTAACAGGTGTGTGTTCTAACACGTGTGTGTTGTAACATGTGTGTGTTGTAACAGGTGCGTGTTGTAACAGGTGCGTGTTGTAACACGTGCGTGGTGTAACACGTGCGTGGTGTAACACGTGCGTGGTGTAACACGTGTGTGTTGTAACAGGTGTGTGTTGTAACGTGTGTGTTATATGGTAATGTGTGTGTTGTAACATGTGTGTGTTGTAACACGTGTGTGTTGTAACAGGTGTGTGTTGTAATGTGTGTGTTATATGGTAATGTGTGTGTTGTAACACGTGTGTGTTGTAACACGTGTGTAGATTCTCTTACATCACGATGAGTTTGGCCGTGCTCGAGTGTTCCTTCAGCAGCTCGTTCAGGCGGATCTGTCGGTTTGTCTGAAAGTCACACAAAGCATGTTCACGTTAAGGCAGGCCATGGGCGCTTCTAGGCAGGGGCCAACAGGGGCCAACAGGGGCCAACAGGGGCCAACAGGGGCCAGTGCCCCTGTAACTCTGAACTTGGTCCTCCCTGTAGCCCCCCCTCCAAAAGGAACAGCCCCCCCCTCATAACACATACACAGTGACTCAACAACCAGACTCACAATCTAGTCTTAAATTCTGTTCCTGAAACAACACAGGATCCTGTGAACATGTACTACTGGAGAGGTCTTAGAGTGAGGGGGCTCAGCGCTCCTGAGCTGGTAGGCGGGGTTGATGCCTTGCTTGAGGGCACCTCGGGTGTGACCAGGAAGTGAACTGGAACCTTTCCAGCAAACCGGCCGATTTCTAGATTTGGGCCACCGAGACTTGAACAGGAGACCCCCCTGGTTCCCTACAGACTGAGCTACTGTGTGTGTGTGTGTGTGTGTGTGTGTGTGTGTGTGTGTGTGTGTGTGTGTGTGTGTGTGTGTGTGTGTTACCTTGGCCCTGTACAGCTCCAGCTCGTTGTCAGTGATCCTCCACGGCTCCTGAGCCTTCAGCCTCTCTGCCGCCTCCTGCTCCATGTCGTCCTCCTTCAGCCGGTACGGCTCGATCAGCTCCTTAAACGTCAGCTTGCTGCAGAGAAAACACAGAAACACCCATTTACATCTCACTCCCTCTTTATTTATACTTTAATAACAAGTTAAATATCTTTGTTCTGTTTTTGGATTAAAGGAAAGCAGCTGAAACAAACTGGAGGTCGTACTTGTGTTTCTTGGGTTTGGTGTTGATGTCTCCGAGGACGTGGATGTCTGAGAAGTCGATCCTGAACCTGCTGAGCAGCGTGGCCATTCTGACAACACACACACACACACACACACACAATAAAGTACATCAAGGATTGTTTTTGTTTATCCTTGTTTACTCGTGAGCGTGGAACAGAGCGTAGCTCATAAGACTCACGCTCGGCGGTCGTGGTCGATGCGGTTGATCTTCCCTCCGATGAACACGCGGATCCTGCAGTCGCCCCATTTACTTCTGTTGGTCAGCAGGAAGGGAATCAGCAGAGTCAGACCTGCAAGAACACAAACAAACAAACAAACAAACAAACTATTTACTTATGGAGCATCAGTGTTCTGTTCTGTCTCTTTGTGATTAGCCTGCCCCCTTTTGGCAGTGAGAGGTATTACACAAACATCTCCTCTTTCAGTCATTTAAACAGGAAAAGCTGCACAAAATATTCTACTAATAAAATCTGCCTCTGTCCTTAAAGGTCCAATCAGTGAGATGATAAAGGTATCTTACTCTCTGATCATTAAGGAAACATGTTGAAGTGTTGGCTTCTCTGACAACAATGCAGCAGCCAGTATGTCCTCCTTCTAACTTTAGATTCTGCTCCTGAATGCTCTGGATTTGTTTGGACCAGAGAAGGTAGGCGCTTTTAAGACACGCCCCCACACGGCCGTTTTGGACGCCCCTCGGTTTGTCAGATATGAGAGCAGTTATCAGGTCAACAGGTGTTGCAGCGATGGAAGCGGTCAAGAGAAGTGGTTCAGATAGAAGTGATTGTACCCGACCTAAAAAGCCTCTGCATGTTTCTAATAAGCTCCACGAGCAGAAACGTGCTCAAACTAGGATCAATATTGGAGATGATTTTGAAAAATGGAGAGAGGTTAGAACACAGAAAGGTTTACAGACCCATGCAGAGCTGGATAAACACTGAAGCTTCAGAGTCCACCACATGGTGACCTGAGTGAGCATCCACTCTAGATAGGGGGTTGGGGGG